TGAAACGGGTCATGAACTCTGCGGTCCAGTTTTCTTAATCATCTTTCTCCTGCTGCTCCCCCTCAAAATCATGGTTAACAAGAATATAACCATACACAAATCTGAAAGAACCCATGGGGTCCAAATTGTATAGGTTTAGCGCCTGATAAGAAACCCTAACTAAGAAGACTCATTGGGTCTCAGAGGGACATTTGCAGAAAGGAAGGGCAGACTTGATAAGAGCTGACACATCCCTGTTTTCCTAGCCTTTTTATATTTCTTTTCCTTCTTTACCTCTCCAAACAAAAAATAATTGACCTATACTATCTATGGTTTTAAGTGAAAGCACAGATGCTTGTATTTTAATGCTTTGGGGAAAGAATCCAATAATTTAAACAATACAATGATAAATGGAACTTAATTTTTATTTATTCATTCATTCATTTATTTGGGGTATGGGAACAAAGACTTTCCATCCTGCTACAATGTTTGGAGGTAAGGTCTTAAGGTAAAGAGAAAGTGCATGAGGTGACCAAGAATCAGCACTGGAAGCAAGATGAGATAAAAGGAAAGCCTGACAACTCGGCTCTCAGAGCCCCCACATAACAGATCTGCTACATAAATACTGGATTACTCAGCTATTCTTGTAAAACGAGCACTGGGTTCTATCTCAACTTGAAGAGATACTTAGAAGACTCCTTTATTCCCCACGAACTACAAAGCCCTCTGCCTCAGAACACTAAATCTCCTCCTAGAGGACAATGACCTTCACTACATTGCACAGCAAAAAGCTACAGGTCAACAGGTGGCCAGTCCTCTAACTGATGCCACTGGACATTGAAGACATGCCAAAAATGGAGTAGGCCAGTGCAAATCCATCCCCATCCACCTACCCACCCCCAACAAACAAAAACAAAAGCCTCAAAGAAGATACACTATTAATAGAAGGTAGTTTCGTGTAAAGAGCATAGCATTATTCATTCATGAACCAATTGCCAGTTGTACCCAGTGTCCCTAGTACTCCCCCTTTATTAGATCCACACAGCTAGACAAGACATTAGTTTTCGGTATTTCAAGAAATGTAATTTTTCAGAAAAAAAAAGTCTAGGTGTTTCTTTTTTTCCCCCAGAAGATTGAATAAGTTATGATCAAATAAAGTTCCTATCTGCTCAGTCCATCAAGAAGATTTAGGGTATATACAGAGAATAGTCACCAAAACCTCAAAAGATGACAATGGTGGACTCCTATATCTCAGAAAAATAGAGATACAGACAAACTAGGATTGTGAAAAGGAAATACTCTCAGAGTTGTTCAGTCAAAATAAATATTTCTTAAGCACTTGCTATGTTCCAGGCACTACACTGAGGAAACGACAGGAATAAGACTTCGTAACAAGGTCATGGATGACCCTGGTCTTGAGGAGACTGATGGGTGCTGAAACCAGAGAGCAGAGGGATAGATGACCAGAAGTTGACTACAAACAACTATTTCAAGAATTTTGGCTGGGAAGGGAAAAAGCAGGGAATGTGAAATAGAGGAGGATTCTACTCTTTTCATTGTTGTGGTTTCTCTGTTTCACTTTCTTGTCTGCATCTAAGCATATGTAAAGGCCAGCAGCAAGGAGCCTTCAGCAAGACATGAAAACTGAGTGAAGTCCTCACAAAGGCAGGGGTGGGTGGGTAGGATCCAGAGCACAGCTACAGGGATTAGTCTCAGTGTAAACATAATCTCTTCCACTGAGCTGAGGAAGGAGGAAACATTTTTTGGCAGAAAAGACCATGGGATTCTCCTCAGACAGCTCTATAATTTATGAAATAGGTGGCAAGATCATGTGCTAAGACTGTAGGTGATGTGAAAGGATGAGGTGTTTGACAAATGTGAAAAAAATGCTAAAAACAGATTCCGCAGAGATGAGAAGTAGGTGCTAATGAGGAAAACTCCAGAAGATTCCCTGATGGCCCAATGAGGCCCAATGATGAACACAGACACACAGGGGCACAAATCTGGATACTGCGGTTTCCCCAGCTGGTCCCAGCAATCCAGGTCAAGCATTACAGAAGGTAAAGCATTGAGATCATCCAGGGCTGAGACTTGCCAGCCAAATACTACAGAAGGACAATGATACAACCAGCCTCACCAGCATGAGAGTGATGATCATGAAATCTCCTGATGAGGTAAAAGAGCAGGTGTAGTGGAGGTGAGTGAGGGTGGGAGAGAGGAGAGACTATAGCACACAGTGGGTGGCCTGAGCTTTGGATTTCAGAAGTGGACCAATGCCAAGGTTGGGCATTTCAACGCTGCTCCCCCACCGCCAGCACCACTTCTCTGGCATAGCTGCACCCTCCTCCACAGCTCAGCTCCCAGTGGGGCTCTTTTTTCTCCTTTTGTCCCTTCCAGTTGTTGCTAGCCTATCTTTGTGCCTCATCACCCCTTGTCTATTCCCTAACCCTGCCCACACCTCTGTGAATAATCCCTTTATTAAAGTCTCTTCATCTGAACCATCTGGCATGACTTCTGACTCCTGCTGAGACCCTGACTTACACAGACATACATCATGTCACTCACATAGGGCTTACATTAAACTAAAACCAAATATTCCTGGCTTTTTGTTTTGTTTGTTTTCCTTTGTCTTTGAGTAAAATTATAATACAATGAAGGTTAAGTCATATACTCTCCAAACTCACAGAACTTTAAAACTGAAAAAGGCCTTTAAAAATTCATCCAAGCTTAGAGATGAACCTAAGAGCCAGCCTAGCAAGTAGCAAAGGGAGAGACTTCACCACTAAGGAAATGCGCTCACTTCCTGGCCTCTGGGCCTGGTGTGCAGCCCAGGTGTTCACAAGCCTTCCCTCATCACGCTCTCACCTCCTTGAAGCTTCCCAATCACTATAACACCAGCAGATCCTTCCCTCCTCTGAACTCCTGCTGTACTTCCATTCAATACTACAGAGTTTAGTTCTTAGCTATTCTTTACGTGACAGGACAAAAATGCCCCTTCTGAATCCAGGCTAATATTATTTCATTTTTAATGTATGTGTCAGGCACATGCTAAGACTGGGAGATACAAACATAATTAAAACTAATCCCTATCCAGCCTGAGCTTAGTCTTTTGACTAGTATGTAAATACCAATAATAGTTATAGCCCAATACAGGGGATAAGACAAGTGCTAACGGGTTATAGGATCCAGTAAGTTGGAAAACTTCGAAGCAGGAAGAATTTTTAGAAATAATCTAGTTTCATGTACTCTCAGAATACACAAAAAAGGAAACAGTCCAAAGCAGCTAATTTAGAGGATAACTCTGCAACTAGCATTTCCTATATGGCCCAATCTTACTGCTTCCTAACACTAGAAATTGTTCAAAGTCCTTTACTACAAGACTGCCTTTGCAAAAACTTTTAGAGTACCAATTTCACTTCCCATAAGATTCATATATAATGAGCTCTCAAATATTTGCAGAATGAAAACTTAGGAGGTTATGAAAACTAGCAGCGTAATAACAATCTTTTAGAAAGATAATAACACAGTTGACCCTTGAGCAACATGGGTTTGAACTGTGCCGGTTCACTCATACACGGAATTTTTTCAATAAAAGTTACACTGAACATGCCTGCCTCCCCTTCCCCTTCTTCTGCCACTCCTGAGACAGAAAGACCAGCCCCTCTTCTTCCTCCTCCTCCTCAGCCTGCTCAACATGAAGACAGGAAGGATGAAGACTTTCATGACGATCCACTTCTACTTAATGAACAGTAAATATATTTTCTCTTCCTTACAATTTTCTTAATATGAACATTTTTTTCTCTAGCTTTATTGTAAGAATACAGTATGTAATACATGTAACATACAAAATACACGTTAATTGACTGTTGATGTTTTCTGTAAGGCTTCCAGTCAACAGCAGGCTATTTTGGGGAAGTCAAAAGCTATATGCAAATTTCTGATTTTACCTGAGGTCAGCACCCCTAACCCTGGTGTTGTTCAAGAGTCAACTGTAGTTCAAAATAGTATCAGTACAGGAAATTAAATGCTTGATAAGAAAAAGAAATAATCTTCTAAAACTTCCCAGAGTTGCCCCCAGGTTACTCTGGAGGATTCTCTGCTTCTCTGATTAAATTTACTAAGTTTCTATTTAATCAAACAGAAGAGAACATTTAACTACTAGGCACACATTCTCTATTGCCACTATGTGAATCACCAACTTGTAACACACAGATCATCCTTGGGAGGCTTTGGGTTTCAGTTCTTCATTAAAGGAGTCAGTTACACAAAGCCTGGGCCAGCATATACTAACATTTGTAAACAAAATAGTGTCACGCTTTAGGAGATGGATCCACATGATCTCACTTAGAACTAACCTTTCAATACTGCATAGTGCACCCAAATAATTTAAAGTGTGGCTGACTTAAAATATATTTTTTAAAGTTTTCCTTGTAAGTCTACTCACAGATTCATAAAGATTTCGAACTTAAATGTTCCCAAACTCATTAATACATTGACCTTTAGCAGATTAAAAATTGCTTGTTTCCATTTAAAGACGAGTTCTTTCAAGAAGTGTTCACCGGAACTAAGAAAGTGTCTCTTTACAAAATCGTGGGGTGCAAGGTCACGCAAAGCCAGGCTTGGAGGCGGCCGGGTGTGCAGGCCTGGGGCCGTCCGCACGGCCCGCGCCTCGCTTAAGCCCCTAACCCGGCCCCGTCCGTAACACGGGCTACCGCGGCAGCAGCCGGCAGCACCCGGCCGGGCGCCGGGAACCCGCGACGGGCGCCGCGGAGGATGCACGCCCAGGCATGCAGGCAACGACGCCTCGCGTGCGCTCTTCACGAGCAAGTTCCCAAAGTGACAGGGCGACAACTCCGTGGGGCGCAGGGCGCCAGGGCCCAGCCGCAACCCAGGCGGCGGGCCTCGCCCCACAGGTGCCCGCGGCCGGGCTGGGACGGCGCGGCTCCGGCCCTTGCGGCCCAGGCCTGGGGACGTGCGTGCCCGTTCGCCCTCGGCTGGGACCCCCAGGCTCCCGCACTCACCTCCAGCCTCTGCCTGCCGCCGCCCGCCGCCTGCTCAGACGGGGTCCGGGAGGCTCGCGGAAAACCCGGGCCGCGGACGCCCAGCTGCCGGCGCCCCACTTCCGCTCGCCACGAGCGCCGAGCGCGTCGATCCGCCAGGGAGTCGAGCGCCGAGCGCGTCGATCCGCCAGGGAGTCGAGCGCCGAGCCCTGGATGGACGCGTCTGTCCGGGAGGGCGGAAGGCGGGCGGAAGGCGCAGTCCTGGCGCGGTGTGCGCCGGTCGGCCTCTGGTTGGCAGCGCCCGTCTGTGCGCGCCAACGCGAGTAAACGCATTTAGCTAGCGGGGCTTCGCGGGGGTGGAGGGAGGTGAGGCGGAGAAAGACACAACCTCCGGGGCTGCGCGTGTGCACTGTCCACCCCAGTGCCCCTTGGGTCGTCTCAAAGAGGCCGCAGGGTCACAGTGCGTTTGTGAGGCCACAATTCACAACTGCTCCGGGTCGGGGCCGCACTGGGTCAGGACGATGAACTGAGTTAGTTAGGGAGATGCATTGAGGTCAGGAGAATGTACCTGGTCAGGCGGCCGCACTGGGTCAGGGGGATGCACCAAGTCAGGGGAGGGTGCACCAGGCCAGGGCACTGTGGCTCCTTCTCCTTCGGAGGCCCTGGGAGGTTAGGTGACACACAAAGACCACAGGCCCGTGGAACTTGCAGAGGTGACTAGCATCTCCCGCCTGGAACCCTGAGTGTTGGTGGCTCTTGAGTGAACACTTCCATGAACTGGGTGCTGTGCAGGCTCTGAGGATAACAAGGTGACTCAAGAGCAGTCACCCTCAGCTTGCTGGCCTGGAACAGCCACAGCCACAGTGGAAACCTGAGCAGCACTGGGGAGTGACTGCAGCAGTCTGGCCAGGAAAGAATAGGGACAATCAGAAGGGGAGTTGGTGACAGCGGCCAAACTGAGGGTACAGGTTGACAGTTGAATTGGCAGGACTTGCCACAGCTGTGAGAGAAAAATGACTTAAGTTAGTGATCTAAGTACTAGGGGAGTGGTGCTTCTACTAACTAAAATAGAAAAGACTGAGGGAGGAGGGCTAGCAGTTCTCTTTTAAAATGTAAAGTGCAGTTAGCACTCCAATGGAGCTGTTGTGTAGGCCCTTGGGAATATGGGCCCATAGCTCTGGGGAGAGGTCTGCACTGGACATATACCTTTGGAAGTTGGTGGCTGGTATTTATGCTGTGAGTTATGTGAGATCTGGGGAGTGGATAGAGAGAAGAAAGAAGAAGTCTGGGACTGAGAACTGGGATGTCAGAGACTTCAGGAAGAGGAAGGAACCAAGTCAGAAAGGCCAGTGAGGAAGGACAACCAGGAAAGTGGGCATGGATGAGGGCCAAAGGGGGAGTTTCAGAAAGGAGGAACTGATTGACCAAGCCAAAAAGAACTGTGAGGCCAAGACTCCCAAGACAGCTGAGTTTGGCACCCAGCCATCATTGACACCCTTGGCAAGAGCAGTTTTGGAGGAAAGTGGAATGCCAAAGTCTCACCGGAGTGGACACAGAAGAAAAAATCAAGTGAAGTGGAAGAATATAAGTTTAGACAACTTAGGTTGGGAGATTTTGCAAATAATTTTTAGTGTAAGTATGTCCCAAATATTGCATGGGTCATACTGATAATAATATTTATGGTTTATCTAAATTCAAATTTAAGTGAATGTTCTGTATTTTTATCTGGAAATTTTGACAACCACTTTGAGGAATTTTTCAATAAAGGGAGCAGAGGTGGGGGCGTTGCTGTTGGAATATGGTATCACTGGAAAAATTTGTTTTAAGATGGGAGCTATTATTTGGTAAAGAGGAAGCTGCTTACGCAGGAGAGACAGGGGCAGGAGAGATGGGGGCACGTTCAGAACAAAGTCCCTGTTGCACAAGGGGAGGGGTTATCCCCTTGCAGGAGGAAGAGATATGAGGCTGCCATGCTGGTTTGGTAGACATGGTGAGGAGAAAATACTCTTCTGGTTGATTCTGTTTTATTAGCAAAAGAACTAGCAAGATCATCCATGATGGGGCAAGGGAGGGTTGAGTAGAGGGGTGAGATTGCTATCTTGGATATTGTGAGATGAATTTGCTAAGGAAATGTAATAAGATTGCCAGGCAGGTGGAAAGCCCATGTGGGATGTGTGGCTCTAGAACCAGTCAGCCTGCTTGTGTGTGTTTTGGCTGCTCTGGGGTAGTAGGGAGTTAGTAGAAATTAGTTGTGGCTGAGGTTGGAGTTTGATGCAGCAGAAGGAGGAGGGAGCAGGATAGTTGAGAATCTGTGCAAAGAAATAACATTAGATAAGACCATGGAGCAAGTTTAAGCTAGTATGACAGGGCACTTAGATAGATTTTTTTCTGGTTGTCCTGAAATTGGCCACCTGGAGGAAGAAAGAGGGCTGCTAACTATGTGGTCATATGTCCCACTTGACCTGGGATAACTCTGGTTTGTGTCTGTTATCCTGGCTTAGTGATTAACAGTGTCCCCATTCACTGCCAAAAGTGGTCCTTTTAGGTAATATATAGTCACTGTAGAGTCTCCCTACTTATAAAGAAAGCCCCCAGACAGTGAGGTGAGACACCTCTTGAGACCCATAGGGGATTCATGCTACTGGCTCTAATCCGGGTTAGTAGTTGCTGACCTGAAGATTCTGTGGGCCTGTGCTTGGTGCTGTCAGGGCAGAGCTAAGCATGGGGTGGAGTGGGCAGAGCTGGGCTGCCCTCAGAACTGTACATGACCAAGAGTATGTAGAAATTCCTAAAGGTAGGAGACATGCTGGAGTAACTTGAAACCACAGCTGGAGAGGAGGGTGGCCAGGCTGTGGACTTTGCAGCCTCTCACTCAGATATGCCCCTCACACAAACTCAGTCTGTGGCCCATCCGTGTGCTCCATGTGAACACCCACCAGAGAGCGTCCACAGTGCTGAGCACTTGGGCTGATCTGACCAGCGCAGGCCAGATAGCTCTGCACAATGGCCTGTGAACAGGCTGGGCATGGGAGGAGGGATGCAGGCTGCAGGGACCCTTGACAAGGCAGCTGCAGAGGCCCATGCACAGCCTGGGGTGTGGTGCCTTCCCTCGAGGAAGCCAGGCATACAGGTGGTGCTGAGTTGATCTCCACAGGCCCAGATGCATACCCTAGGCTTGGGTTTGCCTTCCCTGGCTGCAAGGCCCTAGCAGACATGACTACCCAGTTGCTTACAGAGTGTCATGCTTCATCATCATGGGATTTCCCTTAATACCACCTGGGACCAGGGACCCTTCTAAGAGTGAAAGAGGTAGGCAAAGGGGCCATGACCACTAGATCCACAGGATCCACTATAGATCACACACCCAGAACTGCCACCCTGTCAGGATGTCGGCATGCCCTCAAAAGCCACAGCAAAGGCTCTGGTTGGAGCCTTATAATAATATGAGGCACAATGCTGACATTGTGCAGGATTGGAACGCTGTGCTGTGGGATGCAGTATATACTTGGAACCTAATGCTAGTGTATGGTGCTGTGTCCCCAGTGTCTACAGTCCTGGCTTCTGGGTCAAGCAGAAGGTGCTCCCCCAGGAGACTCAAGGTTCCACTAAATCTAAAGGTCCTCATTTGGGCTCCTTATATAGGCAACAAAATTTGACCCTGGTTATCAGGAGGAAGTAAGGCAGGAAGGATTATTTCTGGAATGCAGGGGACTCTGGGCATTGTTTCCTTGCCTGGTGATACTGGTAAATGGGCAGTGCAGCAGCACTAGCCTGACAAGGACATGGCCACCAGAGTCTCAGGCCCCACGGGGAAAAAAGGTCTGGGTCACATGATGGAGCAAGCTGGTGGGCCATGGAAGTGCTAGTTGCAAGTGAGAAGAATCAAAAAAGACAATGGTGAGAATTGCTATGGCCTCAGGATCAACTGCAGCAGTGGACACCACAGCCCCACCTACCAGCACTCCTGGTGGGTCTCCCCCCACACACACACACCAGCAAACATGATTGGACATCACCAGAAGGAATCAGAGAAGGGACTGGTACCAGTGAGTCTGAGCCAAGCAGGGAAGGGACAGCAGCAGAGGCTGCCAGTGCCCCACCCAGATCCCTCCCCTAGAGGCTGCTTTCAGGGAACACCTGCACCTGTCTTTGAACCTAAGGGTCCTCTTTCTGGAGCAGGACTAGCTGGAAGCACTAGAGAGTTAATTCTCCCAGAAGCAGGCCTCAACCCACAGCAGACAAGGAGGTGGTGTGTAAATACCCCAGCGTGGTGGCTCCTGGGTGGGATGGCTAGAGGCATGTAGCCCATGGCAGCACAGAGTCCCCAGGAAGCTGTGTTCCCTCTTCCTCAGTGGTCATGACACGCCTTTGCTGGCCTCCCCACTCCTCTCCTGCTGTTCCCTACTGTCACCTCCCATGTAAAATGCTAGCCCTGGAAACCTTATCTCAGGGTTGGCTTTTGGGGGAATCCAGCCAAGATTGTCATTATCATAGACCAAAACAGCCTATACTTATGGTTCAAATATCTTTATGTGCTGAATCACACAATTCTTAGGGGAATGCATCCTGGGGGTGGGTGGTGATTTTTGTGTGGACACTTTGAGTCATGGGACTTAGCACAACTTCATTTTTCTCTCTTTTTCGTCAGAGGATGTACCAGAGTGCTGCTCTAGTTATGCACTAACACGATGCACTCCCTCAGCATTATCGATTTTAAAGAGTGAGGGGAAAGCTGGGAAGTGTGAATCAGAGATTGGCAGCAGCGGTCAAAAGAAAAGAAAGAGAAATCCCTGGAAGCAGTACCCTCCATCACAGTGAAACTGAACCTTGTGGGTCTCTGTGTCGAGCTGTTTCCCAGGTTAGGCGATCCTGCCATGAAGCCAGGATATGTGGGTCTTGAGTACTCACAGACTTTTCCTGGACCAAAAAATAACAACACTGTATTCCTGAAACAAAAATACTCAAAAGAGGAAAGAGACTTTTTTGTTAATATAAAGAATACTGGTGTTGTTTTCTTTCTTTTTTTTCTTAAATTTCTGGTCCTAATTCTGAGGCCAGCTAGCGTACATTAGTGCAGTATAATCAGAAGCTGGCAGCAAATAAAATCATTAAACCTAAAATTACAGTAGTAGCCACCAGGGC